CGCCGAGACAAGAGGAGGAATGCGACACAAAAGAGCATCGCCGCCCCTCGCTTTAAACGCGTTAGCCCATCGAGCGTCGCCACTCCGCCGCACCGGCCGGGCCGCGGGGCCGCCGGGCCGCGCAACAGTACACCAAAGTCAAGTTTCGCAGTTAATCTAACTTGGCCAGGTCGGGTTGCCGGGGTGGCGACGACGCCGGGGCTGGCCGGGGCTGCGGCGGCCAAGCTGCGAAAAGGAACAGAAAGAGGGAAAACGCGGAGCGCACTGCACGCTCGGCTTTTTGTGTACCTTTCTTTACGAGCGTGCTGTTGTACGAGGGCAGGAAAAAAATAGAAAAGCAGCGATGGGCCGCCAACAGGACGACGACGGCCCGCCGCACCCCACCGCACCCCGCCCCACCCCGCCCCGCCCCGCCACGCCCCGCCACGCCCCGCCCCGCCACGCCCCGCCACGCCCCGCCACGCCCCGCCATGCCCCGCCATGCCCCGCCACGGCCCGCCACGCCCCGCCACGGCCCGCCACGCCCCACCACGGTGCGCTGCATGGAAATTTGGGGTCCCCCTCCGGAACACGGGGAGACATGATGTAGGTTTATTGTGCTCTGAAAAGACCAGTTTGGTTTATCGGTTGGGCTGCGCGTGTGAGTGTGTGCGTGCTACTGACACGGAGGAAACGAAACGAGAGCCGCATTCCCCGCACTAATCAGCCGGTTGTGGCACCGCTCCGCGCAAGGAGACCAGCTCGATGCTGCGTACCGCTGTGCGCCGGCGCATCATAAAAACAAAATCGGAAACAAAGGAAGAAAAAAGGGGGCCCTCCTCCCACCCCCGTACACAGTACGGAGGACCGCCTGCAACTTCGGTGGATCGGGGGAGCCGGTGCTTTACAGAGGCGCGCCCAAGGGGCAGGTGACAGTGCGAGGCCAACAGTCCGGGGTTCAACTCCCAACATTTGTTTAGGGTTTTTTTTTCGATTCCTCTCCCAATGTGGTTTAAAGGCGTGACATCCCCCGTTCCATGATATGTGTCGTGGTGGACCAGATGGCAAAGGCATTAGTACCTGATAATGGGGTTGGCGGATCAAGTCTCCTTATGAAACATTTTTTGAGGCCCGCTCACTGCGGTCAATCCCTGTCGCGTCTCCTAGAACCCGGCTTCACTCCACCTCTCTCATGAGCCGTGGTGGCTGAGGTGGAAAAGGCGTCTGCCTCGGACAATAGGGTCTGGGGATCGATTCCCATCATATTAGTACATTTTTGGACTAGCCTCCGACCAAATCGACTCAAACCCGTCGTCCAACACTCGGCAGACGTAGAAGTCATGATAGTGTAGTGGTCAGAGTCACATTAGCCAAATTGGTCGCGGTTGGGTCCTCCTTGATTCGTCGGGTAGGAGATGGTAAGTCCTTTGAAGCTGGCCCTTGGTTGACGTCTGTATGTTTGGTAGAGAGCGCCGGACAGCCAGCGGGGGTACCTGTGGTACAGACCACCCCGCGAAAATCCAAGGCTCTCAAGGTAGAGAGAGACTGTCAAGTATCCGCCCTTCACCCGACCCATATCAGACGAGAACCCCTGGGGTCACCGCCTGTAAAGCACCGGTTCCCCCGATCCACCGAAGTTGCAGGCGGTCCTCCGTACTGTGTGCGGAGGTGGGAGAAAGGCCCCCTTTTTTTCTTCCTTTTTTTCACTTTTTTTAATGATGCGCCGGTGCACAGCTGTACGCAGCGCGCGGAGCCCAGGACGCGTTTTCACCGTGTTCTGCTTGGCGCCCAGGCTCAGGACATAGCTCATTGAGCTGGACGGTGGGCGCCGCTGCCAGCGCTGCGCGTTGGTTTGGAGCTGGCCGGAAGAACGGCTTGTAGGCCTCCAACTTGTTGAGCAGCTTCGTCTGGCTTTGGCGCGCGGGGTCGCCGAGGAGCCGGTCCGCGCGATCGCGGCGGCTCGGCCGAAGGGGGGGCGTCATTGTCGAGGGTGGTAGGGTGGCGGGGGAGTTTGAACCCGGCACCTTGTCTTCTACTGTCGGCGCCTCAACGGCCGCTGCCACGGCAGTCGCACACGCCGACTCTAATTGCGCGACAAGGATGGCTTCCACATCAAGCCGTGGCCTCGGCGGTGAGGCCCCGGTGCCGCCCTGGTGCCGCCCTGGTGCCGCCGGTCTACATCGGCAAGTAAGGGGCTTTCCTGGCTCCAGGGAGGCTTCCGGGGGCCTCTTAGGCGGGGCGGGGCGGGGCGCCTTGTCTTGATTAAGGGTGCGCCACGCGAGGCGACTGGGGAGAGGCTCTTCAGTTCGAACCAATCCGGGTTAATCCTGGCCCCGCCGAAGCTGCGCAGAGCTGCCGGTGACCCCGGCGGCGCGCAGCGTGCTGCCAAGAGGCAGCGCCACAGCGCCGCCTGGAGCGCCGCCTGGAGCGCCTCCTGGATCCAGCGAGGAAGCGGTGAGTGGCCGCCAAAAACTATCCCGCAAGTGGCGGTGGCGCGCGAGTTTGTCCAAAGTGACCGCCGCGTTCGACGCACACGGCGCGCGGCACTAAAGTTTAATGCCGCGCCGCTGCCAGCGCGCTCCCGCCGCGACCCCAGCGAAAGTGGGCCAAACCGGCGTGAATTCGTAAGGGCCGTTAATATTGGAGCCAAGTGGCTCGCGTCGCTCTTGACACCGACCGGCCGACCGACCCCGGACCGACCGGCCGGCCGACGGCCTGAATGACGGGCTGGCGGGCGGCAGGCTGCGAGTATTGATCCCCACCCTGAGTGAAGGCAGACTACTGTCTCTGTCTCTCTCGCACCCCTACGACATCCAGAGTGTGAGAGAGACAGAGGGACTCGCGTGTCGGCGGGAATGCAGTAAGAATGGCGCTGCGCTGCCAAAGCGTTGCCGTAGTGGAGCGCGGCAGCGTGGGGGGCGGAGGGCGAGTGGATTGGATGGACGTTGTTTTCCCATCCGACGATGATTCAGAGCCCCCGCCCCCGCCCCCTCCCAGCCCGAGGACCTCGCCAGGACCCCGGACCGCCCGGCCATCGATGCGGAACGCAATAAGGAGAAGTGTCGGCACAAACACATTCGCGTCCACATTAACATCCACGGGGGGGATGAAAGAGTTGGTGGTGGAGCAGCGGAGCCGGGCGGAGCCGAGCCACTCGGCCATTGGGCCATTCGGCCAGTGACATTGGCCCCTTAGGCGCCCATTGGCCCATTCAGCACTACACCGCACAACCAGTGCCGGGGAGAGCGAGAAAGAAAGCAGGAGAAAAGGGGGAAAGAGAGAGACAGAGAGGGGGAAAGACCATCGTGTTTCCGTTCGGAGAAATAATGCGGACCGTTCTTTTTCTCCAAGCGGAATGCTAAGAGGCGCGTTATTAAAAAGCAGGGCGCTGCCAGCCGCCCCGCCCCGCCCCGCCCCGCCCCGCCCCAACCCGCCCCACCCCGCCCGGCCCAGAATCGAAACACGCGTTGTGTTCGCAGCCGCTCCAGCAATTTGGCGAGCGCCATGTTTTTGCCAGTCTACGGTTCCACGGAGTGTGCGGCGCAGCCCGGCACAGCCCTGTGGGCCCCGGCCCGGCCCGGGTACGCCCCCACGGCACAGCCCTGCGCTAGTCGGGCCCTTTGGCAAGGGAGGGCAGAAAGCCACATGCGGGCTTCAAAGCGCCCCTTCCACCGCGCCGCTCGACGCGCAGGGCGCGCAGGGCAGCGGGTGACGCCATAGGGGCCAGGCCGGCCGGGCCCCAGGGCATCCGCAGCGGCGGCGCGTTGCGCGCGTTGACCACGGCCCCCCGGAGGGACACTGCGCGGGGCGACGCGGCGCTGGGCGAGGTGAAACACACACGTTTACCGTGCGTGGAAATGGAATCGACTCGTCGCAGAGAGCGCACTAGCGCAGCTAGCGCAGCGAGGCAGCGGAAAGGCGCCCCCCGCTCGCACCGCACCGCCTCGCTTCGCTCTCCACGTCGCCCCAACCAGGCTGGCAATTTCATCAATTTGGCGGCACGGCGCGGCACGGTACAGCACGGCGGGGCGCCCTAGAGGGGGGGGGGGCAGCCTGCACTCGCACCGCTCGCGTGCGCCAAGCAAAACCCTTTTGGCGCCGCAATTTGAGGCCGCTTTTCCTGTGAAGGACGAAGAACGTGTCACATCCTTAATGCCTGCCTGACGTGCGGCGGGGTGGGGCGGGGTGCGGCGGGGTGCGGCGGGGCGTGGCGGGATGTGGTGGGGCGCACGTTGTCCGTTATCAACCAACCGAATTACTGTCCCCCGCAGCTGCCTGTCCTGGCGGCCGGCGGCCCGGGCAGCCCTATGCAAACTGCATTTTAATTCGACCGCCTCAACCCCCAGCTCCCCTCAGGGGCTGGGGCCGCCTTGGGGCCGCCTTGGGGCCGCCTTGGGGCCGCCTTGGGGCCGCCTTGGGTCCGCGGTCCTGGGGGCTGCGCTCCCCGCCCCGCCCCGCACCACCACGCTGCTGTGATGCACATCATCGTCTCGGACCGCCACCAATACCTGCCAGTGCGTGGAGGTGAGAGGCGGGCCGCAACCGAGGCAACCGAGGCGGGGGGGGGGGGGGCAACCCTACTCATGTGTCGACTCGGCACTCGTGTGTCAAACAGGCCAGGACGTAATCCCGGCGTGCCTCTAATGGCAGAGAAAACATCCCCCTCCATCCACCCCCCCTTCCGCCCCTCGAACACCTTTCGGCCGCTCTCACCGCCCCGCCCCGCCCCACCCCTCCACGCCACGGTGAGGGGATCATCCCGCCCTTCACTCCGACGGCCTTATGCCTTTCGAGAGAAAAAGGCCTGTGGAAATGGACGTCTATATCTGGGCGCGGGAGTTACAGGTGAGCGAAACAGAGGCGTGGCTACACTGAGTGCTGAGCTAAAAACAGCTCTGAGAGAGAACAACTTTTCCACCCCCTCATCCATTCCGTTTAAATGACTGTTCGATTGACATTTTTTGCGTCTGCTTCTCGGACGCCGGAATGCAATATGAAAATGATGGCACATGGACTCCTACCTTCAATGCGAGTGGCGATTTTTCTGTTGTTTGCGAGACTGCAACACACCTGGAATAAAACACGACGGAAAGGAGGTTAGAAAAGATTCCTGCGTTGAGCAATAAAAGGCACGACACATCCGCCAGCAGCGAGGGTCGTTCGGGTGCTGGCCGTGGAGGTGGTGCTGGCGTTGCTGCCGCGGTGATTGTCGGCAGCCGGGCCAGCAGGCACCGCCACCGGTGCGATGCTTTGGCATAGCCATCGGGCCATTTCCATAATTCTCACAAATGGTGTGGTGTGGTCCAGTCGGCCCAGTCCAGCTGCCGGACTCGGGCGGGGGCGACGCTCGGGGCAAAGGTCGACGAGGTCCTTCCCTTCCGCCGCCCCGCCGCCCCGCCGCCCCGCCGCTAGCGTCGTCCGCTACCCGGCCGGCTATATCAATAGCAGGACGCGCCCACATCCGAGAATGCGGCCCCACCCCTCCCTTCCGCGAGGCTGCATGACTGGAATATAAAGATGGAGCGCCGGAATGGCGGCGGGCCGACGGGCCGCTGGGGCCCGGAATCCAGGCGGGTAGTGTACTGGACTGGGGCTAGCCCGGCCAGCCAGCCCAGCCAGCCCAGCCAGCCGGCAATCGGTAATAATGCTCGGAACAAGCCTCACTTCCGGACTTGCGGACTTCCGGGATCGGTTTATTGGAAGGCTGTCGGCGCTGCGGTGCTTGCGGGTGCACGCGCCACGCACGGCTCACTGGAGTGTGCTCGCTTCCCTGCGTCCTGCCCGAGTCCTGCCTGTGTTCCTGCTCCGCCGGCCTCCAAGGGCCAGGCCAAGGGCCAGGCCAAGGGCCAGGCAGCCCGCGCGGCCGAACTTTGGAGCGCCGCGTTGGCAGTGGTTGGCTGCCTCGCTGTCTTGCACCACGGCCCCCAGGGGCCCCAGGGACTCCAGGGACAGGACCGCCAACCCCACGGGGACTAATAAGGCGCCCTGGATTACCGCCTCAGTGCCACGGGGCTGGCGGTTGGCATCCCTGCCAATAAACGATAAATCGAAGAAAGCTTATTCGACGAGGGCGGCTAGGCCATGAGAGCCGGACTGTCTCCACAGCGCCAGCCCCGGCCAGCCAGCCCTCGGCCGCTGCCATCATCCAATACGACTCGGCTGAATTAATCGGGACTAGTTTACGGGGGGAGGGGGAGGGCGGAGGGTGCCAAGCGGGACAATACGCATGCAAACAATGAAGATGGAGCTCAAGTGCCTGCGAGGAGCAGGTGATCCTGCCTGTAGCACACCGGCAATAATAATCATCATTCAGACGGAATGTCGCGCCGCGCGCGTCTCCGTCGCACTCAGGGGCTGCTCTGCTGGGCCGCGCTCTGCGTCTCACTCGCACTCACGGGTCTCCCCGCAGGGCCGCGTCCTGCGTCTCCCTCGCACTCACGGGCCTCCCCGCAGGGCCGCGAGAGACGCAGAGCGACGACGGTGCGCACTCTGCGAAATGAGAAATGCCACGGTTGTCGCTGAAAGGCCTGAAAGGTGAGACCGCGGCCTTTCGCGGCGATGAGAGCGAAATGCCAGACGCGGTCATCAGCGCCACTAATCGGGGCGACCGGCCCGCGAAGCACGAGAAGCACGCTGCGGTAATCAGGTCGCAAACATTCTGGAAAAACAAGAAAATTCACTTGGAACAAGATAATGGCGAAGAAAATTTTCCATGTTCCAAGTAAATTTTCCATGTCTCCAGAAAATTTTTCACGTTTCAAGTAAATTTTCTATGCCTCAAGTAAATTTTCCATGGCCCAAGTAAATTTTGTGTTGGTACTGTGCAATGAGCACGGACGGGCGGGAGTAATCCGAAGCGCGGCCAACAGCAAGCGGCGCCACTGTAACGGCAGGTAGCGTCATTGCAGGCAAAGTAGCCTCAGCTGCTGCTCTTAATGGCCGAGGGGGGAAGGGAGGGGGAGGGGGAGGGGTAGGGGCACAAGGCCGCTTGACTGGAGGTGTGATTGGGCGTAGTTAATGGTAATGCCGTGCTCCACAACGCGTCGTGCCAACTACGTACTGACGGATCATGCCGGCGGGCACGGCCAAGGGCACGGCACCGGCAGGTGCACTGATTACTTTCGGGGGCCGTTGTGTCATTTTGTTATTTTCGGAGCCTCGGCTCGCTCTATGCGCCACCCGCGCTTGGGGTTGACGACGCCTCTCGGTCGTTCCGAATCATGGAACTGGAGGCGCGTTGCTGCACCAAACTCGCTGTCGCGTGTTTTTGTGTGTGTGTGTGAGTGTCTGTCTGTCTGTCTGTCTGTCTGTCTGTCTGTCTGTCTGTCTGTCTGTCTGTCTGTCTGTCTGTCTGTCTGTCTGTCTGTCTGCGTGCGTGTGCGTGCCGTCCCTGACCTAGAGGCCTAGAGGAGTTGAACAGGCTATAAATCACAGCCCACGATCGGGCCCTGGTTAACTTGCGAGGCAGTTGGACAACAGACGGCGGCACGGCGCGGCACGGCGCGGCACGCCAGTGAGCGCCGTCACGGAAATCTGTCAAACTTTGTTGGCCGCCTGTAGTCGCTTTGTGCATGCCCGCGCGTTGTCTGTCCGTGCACGCGCCTCTCTCTGTGTGTGTGTGTGTGTGTGTGTGTGTGTGTCTACGTGCGGGTGTGTGCGTGTGTGCGCGCGAGCGTGTAACTGCCGCCGTGGGGGTGGATCCGCGGCACGCGCTTAGCCCGGTTGAAAGGTTGGAAGGTTGAAAGGGCGGTGTTTATGGTGGCGCGGCACGGAATCACTCGCGGGGCCTCTCCGGGGCCTCTCCGGGGAACTAACCGTCCGCTATTTAACGGAGGCTGCTTTTCGTTTTTCAGCAACCAGTAAACCCTGATCAAAACGAAAAAACAGAAGCAAAAAGAATCGCCTTTAGTATTTCCGAGGCAGCGGGGAGGGCCTCGGGCGTCAACATGAACGGTTTTCACAATTTTTCCTGGTATAGGGAAGAGCTCGTGACGAGTGGAGTTTGTGACTCTAGTGATGAGTGAGCGTGGCTGCAGTGCTCGCGCCGAGGCAGTGTATGTGCAGTGCCCTCCCCCCGGGCCGCCATTTCCTATCACCTCCCCTTATCTCCCTGCTCCCTCCCCTCCGCACTTGCATTTTTTTCATATCCCCTCCACCGCTGCAACACCCGGCAGCACCCGGCCGTCCCGGGGCGTCCCGGAGCGCCTGGAGCGCGGCCTGGAGCGCAGCCTGGAGTGCCTGGATAACAAGAGCGAACGCCCCGCAGTCCCTGCAGGCCTCCAGGCCTCCAGGGAGGGGCGTGGCAGAGCGGCGGCGGGGGAAAATGCAGATCCGGAAATATTGTAATCGAGCGTCGCGTGTGCGGGCCGCACCGAGGCGCTGCCAAGGCGCTGCCAAGGCGCTGCCAAGGCGGGCCAGACCGCCTGCAGAGGCCTCGCGCTTATCTCGAGATGCCTTCGCCGCTTCTGCCCTTTTTGTCATCACGTCCTCATCTACCGGCCCAACAGCGCTTTTTTGTTTCTTCTTCTTCCCTTTTTCTGGAATGGCCACCACAAAAAGTGGAAAGGGCGCGCTCTGAAAATTCCCGGGAGCAACTGCCGCCAGCAGCCACAGCGCCGTTTTTTCCTCGGTTTTGTTTTTCTCCCCTGAAAGTCAAGCCGGCGGAGAGCACGACGACGATGACGCCAAAGGTCGCGGTGACGTCAAAGCGGTGACAGTGGCGAAGTGGGGATGAGACGAGGGGGTCCGAGAGTCCGACCGGACCGCGCGGAAAGGCGCGGAAGACGGGAAGAGCGAATAATAAAATTTTGTGGCCGCGCAGCCGCGCTTTCCGATCACGGCATGGCGGGGTCTGGCTAGGTCTGGCAGGCCTGGCTTGGCCGGTATAATGAACGACGCTGTCGGATTGGAGCGCGCCCCCTCCTCCTCCTCCCCCGCCCTTGACTCCCAGCCGGCCCTTCCATCCCGTGCTTCCTGTTTGTCTCTGGGTGACAGCTAATTGGTCTGCGGCGGGCACCACGGCCCCAGCCCACCCCAGCCAGATTCCGCACAGTGTCCTCTGCCCGTCTCTGTCGCACTCACGGATCGCGCCGACGGGGTGCGAGAGAGACAGAGATAGGGGCCGCTACAAGTGGCGCGGAACGCGTTGCGCAGTGCGTCCGCGCGTAGCCAATCAGCAGCGGGCCGGTGGGCCCTGCGGCGTCCCTGCGGCGTCCCTGCGGCGTCCCTGCGGCGTCCCTGTGGCGTCCCTGCGGCGTCCCTGCAGCGTCCCTGCGGCGTCCCTGCGGCGTCCCGGCACCCGGCGACTACTACTCAGGCACCCCATTCTGCGTCCCGAGTTTCAAGTTCCAAAGGCCTCCAAAGGCTGGTGCGTTACGTGGAAGGTGTGGCAGGCTCCCGGAAAAGCGACGAGCGCGTGAGCGTGGCGTGAGGTTGGATCCAGCGAACCGATCCACGGCTTTGGCACGGCGTGGGGTGCAAGGCGCGGGGGGCAACCGATTTCAAGAAGGGGCCCTCATTGGCGGCGGGCTGCAACAGGTACTCGAGGAAGGTGGGCAGCGCGAGGCAGCGCAAGGCAGCGCCAAAGCCGTTGCCTCATTCTCGCGCTCGATGAGCGCGGTGCCGCCGTGCCACCACTCGCGAGAGACCGACAGAGACAGGCGCTCGAGTGCAGTCGTTATGCGGGAATGAGGCGAGCAGACCGGGGTGGCTCGGCGCGGCTCGGCGCGGCTCGGCGCGGCTCGACGCCAGCGACACGAAGACCCCAGTCAGCACGCGAGCCACCCCGCCCCGCCCCGCCCCGCCCACCCCGCACTGCTGGCGCTGCTGGCAGTGGCGTAGGCGACGGCTCCATTCCAGGATTAAACCGCTCGCAATCTCCAAGCTGCACTGGCGGCGATTTTCGCTCATTTCCGGAACCATCTCTCCCCCCTCTCCCACTCTCTCTGCCGTTACCTCTCTCTTTCCCTCCCATGAACCGAAGTGGGGCGGGGAGGAGCGCCACTCGCCGCAGCACCCGGCTCCCTTATAAGTAGAAATTCAGTCCTTTTTTGACAAAATTTGCCGCAAGA